TATTAATTAAAAGTCATATCAAAATTCGTGACCTACATTGCTGATCATTTCCCGATTCCAAACTTTTGTCCAGTGAGAGTGATAAATTGACTAAATATCAAACTATGTCAGCAAAATATAGCATTTCATATATTGAATATTACACAAAGATCAATTTTATAATTACAGTCAAAGCTGTTTATACCGAACTGTTGGTTCTGAGGATTTTGGTTCGGTATAGAGTGAGTTCGTTATAGAGTGTTCTCTCTATATACTGAACAGTTCGGTATATAAAGTTGACCAATAAAATTAATTTCACATGATCATAAATATATTTGGCTAATGATCTGATGATTTGTAAAACGTTACCTTTTACATTTTTTGTAATATAACAGCAAGACAATAATGACAATGGCAAGAAAATAATGTGTGATAGTAACAGCGAGACAATAACAGTAATGGTGAGGAAATAATGGATGATAGTAAGAGTGAGAGAATAATGGCATAGTGAGAGAATAATAGTATTATGTAAAACCTTTCTATTATTTTTTTTCATAAATAAGAGGGAATTTGAAAACTACCACTAGAAATCGATAAACGAAAATCAAAGGTAAGGTTTTATTTTATTAAAAAAACTTTACTTAGTATTCTGAAAATAATGGAGATTAACTTGTTTAAGACTTTTTGCAGCCATCAATCTAACTCGTCTATGTAATCTTCTTAAAATTTTTAGTTCCTCTTCATCAATTTCTCCAAATTCTGGTCCTTGTTCGTATAAGAATCTTAATATTTTATCCATATACTTTTCTGCTTCTATACAACTTAATTTTTCTATTTGTTCAACAGACTCCTCCTCCTCTTCCATCTCTTCCTCTTTTTCATTTGCATTTCTTACTGCTTCTAATATTTCTTTATCCGTAAGTTCACTCTCAATGTTATTATTTTCGATATTAATATACTCATGCGCAGTGATGTAGTCATTTTCAGGTAAACGATCAATTAATTATGTGAGTTTTAGTTCATCACTCGTATCACTAAAATAAAATTAATTTAATTTTATTAGTTTTTTAGAACAAAAGAATAATTTTTATTACAAGACTTACCTTTCATCTAAAAATCCTTGCTCAGAAAAGTCAATAGATTCTTCTAATTCTTCTTGTGAAAGAGTGGAAAGGGTAGGGTGAGTGGGAAGAATTCCAGTTTTTCGCCAACAATTTTTAATTGTGTTTGATGTTACCATAGACCATGCTTCAGCTGCATTAAGTAATGCATTATAAATGTTATACTTGGTAAGCTCTTTTGTTACTCCATTTTGTACATCGTCATATGCATTAATTCGATTCTGGATAAAAAGGCATTTGTACTGACATTTGAATGAATTAATAATTCCGGCATCACAAGGTTGAAGGATTGCGGTAGTATTCGGAGGAAGAAATTCAACTTGCAAGCTATCTAGCTTTGCTTGAGTCTCGTCTAAAATAATATGCACTGGTGCATTATCAACTAGAAGTAAGATTTTTCGATTTCTTCATTTTATCTTATTGTTAAGCTTGAGAATAATATCATTAAAGATGCTAACTTGCATCCAAGATTTCTTGTTCCAATAATAATAAACAGGAAAATTATTATAATTAAGATTTCGCATTGGACGGGGTTTCTTGGCAGTATGTATAAAGGTAAGATTCATTTTCTCAGTTCCAATTGCATTTGTAGCACAAAGTATTGACACGCGTGATTTTTCTTTTTTGTGTCCAGCTAATTTAGAATGGGCTAAGGTTCGGGAAGGCTCCATTTTCCAAAAAAGTCCAGTTTCATCAGCATTCCAAATGTCTTCAAGTTGATAGGATTGAAGTAACTGTTGCAAGGCAAGTCGATCGTTTTCTATAGATTCCATAGAAGGAGCACTTGCTGATTCACCCTGTTTCGTAAATTGACGAAGTCCATGACGTTTTTTGAAGCCGGCAAGCCAACCATCAGACTGATGGAAATCATTAATAAAAAAATGTTCAGCGAAAAATTTTGCCTTTGCCTTAATAATATGATCATCAATATCTTGATTATTATTAAGTGCATTATCTATCCAGAGACCAAGAGCTTGTTCAAGTTGTGGCCATTTAGGTTCACGAAATTTTTTTACACTTCCTTGTTCTTCATTTTCAATAGCTAACCAACGGTCTTTTTCTTTTAGAATATCGGTTATAGTTGACTTTCCGACACGATACCGATTGGCAAGTTCTACATTATTAATGTTTGGTTCATTTTTTTTGATCTCACAAATATCTCATTTTTGCGCAGCTGTAAGAAGAACTCGCTTTTTTGTTGTTGACATAATGTGTAAATTAAAAGGTACAATGAAATAAAACAGAATTAAATAAATAGTCCACCCTATAAATCTAAAAAAAAACTATTGTGTCAGAATCGTTTTAAAGTCTGAAACCAAATAAAACAAAAAGTCTATCTTGTGCATTGTGTCAAATATCATTCAAAAGTCTGAAACAATCATGTTAGATAACACAGTGTTACTCGAAAAATACGAGTGATACTTCGACCAGATAATTTTGCACGAACAATCACGTTTTCACGTGACAGTTCATTATATCCAAATACATATATATAATAATAGGCTGGAAAATCAAGTTCGGATGCGGTATATAAAAATTTATTAATTAGTTCGGTATAACCAGCGTAATTAATTATAAAAAAATTGGTTCTGGCAATTTCGGGTCATTATAGCCAGATTTCGGTATAAACAGGTTCGGTATAGACAGCTTTAACTGTATTACATATCAATATTACATAATTATTACAGTATTAATTAATAATGTTTATTATTATCATTATTTACAGTGCCCAACAAAAGTTTTCTCGCACCCCTAACTCGACACAGAGATATGGTAAGAAAAAAAAGTTTTTTTTATTTGAAAACACATGACATTACATGAAAATTAATGCATGGTATAATTGCTCTCAGCTTTAATTAGGATCTTCACGTGACATCCCATACTCTTTACCAAATTAGCTGCATACTTCTTAGGTAAATGATTTCATTCCCATGTTATTTCACCCTTTAAATCTCTAAGTGTTCTAATTTTTTTTTGCCAGGTTCATTTTCATAAGCCCTCAGACATTCTTAATCAGGTTTTGGTCAGGTGACATCAATGACCAGGGGAGAACTTTGATGTCATTTTCTTCTTTCCATACCTTTGTGATTTTTGAACAGTGTTTTGGGTCATTATCTTCCTGCAGAATCCAACTATCACAATCTTCACCAAAAAGGTTCTCAGCAGAAGGCAGAAGAGCTGTTTCATATAGCGTGATTATATATTACGTGTTAAGATTACATGTGAAGCATACCAACCTTCCAAAGTCTAAAAAAGAAAAACAGCCCCATACATGAACCTTTAATGGATGCTTGACAGAATGGGTTATTTTCCTTGTCCCAATGAACTGCCAAGCCTTTTTTAGTTATTGATTTAAGCAGAAAGTACTTTCGTTAGTAAATATTACGGAATTCCAGTTGAAATCCTTATGCTCCTTTGCCTATGAGAGATGTTTTTTTGATGCTTTGCTCTAAGCAAAGGCTTCGCAAGTTTTCCATAGTAATGAGCTCCACCTTCGCCAAGGTACCATTGAATAGTATGTACGTAAATGTCTACATTTTGCTTTAGAAATTTATGGTGGATTTCTGGGGCAGTAATATCTACATTCTCTTTTGCCAACTCCAAAATCCGTTTGTCTTGTTTTTTGGTGGTGGCTCTTTGATGACCTGATCTTGGTTTGTCACTTAGGTCTTTATTTTTTTGCCACCTTTTTACCCATTCTTGGACTGTTTTTTCATCACAACGAACCTGCTTTGCCATCTCATGCATTGAGAGCTTGGGACCTTTCAGGTGGGTGGCTAAAAAGACGATTTCATATCGTTTATGTAAAGGAAGAGGCATTTTTTTGACTGAAAAAATTGTTGTATAAGCAGCGTGGGTATTTTTGCTATACACTCTGTCCAAAGAAGTTTAATATGATTAGCATATACGATGTACTACATCCATGTGAAATTTCGTATGCCTACACATGATCTTCCGGAAATTACAGGTGCGGGGAAACTTTTGTCGGGCACTGTAAAACAACTCTTAAAATAAATATATTAAACTTTATAAAATGAAGTTACACTCCAATATTTTTTATTAATATGTAAAATTTAAATATTTGACTTGTAATTTTATTAAAAAATTTATTCGACCATACATAAATTAAAACTTAATTAGAAATTTGTAAAAAACCAAGCGTAACTATTCAAGACGGTTTCTACAAATGGTCTTCAGTTAAAAGAAATTAGAAAAATAAGTGCAATATGTGTGAATCTTTTAGAATTAATGTTCAATTTATTATTTAATATACTGATTAAAAATTTGATCATAGTAAAATAATCAACATATCTGACATAGGTTTGATTATTTAGTTGATTTATCACTCTAATCGTACATGTACACGAATCAAGAAATGTTCTGCGCTTTTATTTTTAACGTCAATGTCAATCGCTGCCCCCTTTGTGAAGGTAAATGGAACGAGTTTCGAACAAAAATGGCAAGTCATTATTTTGATTGACGCGAATTATTGGCAAGCAATAAATCTTGAAGGCGGAAATCGTACAAGGATTTTAAAGAATATGGTGTGAATAATATTCGAGTCATGGCGGCTAATGAAGATCCATCTGGTGAGCCGTATCCAATGTATTCGGCGTTAATGAATTCCCCGGAAGAATATGATGAAAATGTTTTTGAAGGTAAATTATATTTTTTTGATTTGGATTTTAGAGTGATTCAAGATTCCTCTTGATGATTTAGGTTGGACTGTATCTTGAGAAATATGGAATGATGGCGACTATAGTAATATTTAAAATAATAACGTTTTTCACTCAATTTTATTTCTCATCTAAAATTTTAATCTTAATTAGATATTTTCAAATTACTAGCATTGGATTCGCTCAATACATGAATTGGGCGGGAAATGGTAAAACACCAATCCCTTACCACAAAGGTCTGGATTTCGTTGAACCCAGATGTCAGAAAATACATGTATATCAAAATCTCGTACACGCTCGTCGTAGCACAGTTAATGGAAAACTTTATCTAGATGACCCGGTGATTTTCGCTTGGGAATTGGCTAACGAACCCCAAGTAATAGAAGATTCAAGTGCTCATTCTATTATTTATGAATGGATTGATTCCGCTGCGAAATTTATTAAATCGTTGAATCCGAATCATTTGGTTAGTACCGGTACGGAAGGAAAAACGGGAAAGAATGGTTTTGATACATACAAATGAAAGTATTGGTGAGTATATATTTTTTATAGAATTTTTTTAAGCTTAATTAATGACTATTATTTTTTGAGATTTTGCAAGTACTCATATGTGGATTGAGAATTGGGGTTATTATAACTATAGGATCTATCCGTAGAAACTTTGAACGTGCAAAACAATTCATGTTGAATTTTTTGCAAAATGCAAGTAATTGGTCAATGCACACTTTAAAAAACAAGTCTACCTAGCTGAATACGGTAAGTACACATACATTAACTTCATTTTATATTTTCAATCAACGTTTTCAAATTTAAAAATAAAGAAGTTTATTAACTTTTTTCAAAAGATATATCAGCTTTAGCAAAAGCTTAAATGAGATCTGTAATAATTATTTTTTTAAATTCATTATTATTTAGTATTAAATTTAATGTTTGTTATATTATTTATATATAATTACAATATTTTTTTGGTTTTTATAACATGTTATATTAATTTATAAAAGGATAATTATTTTATTCTTATTTAATTGAATAACTACAAACGTACAGTGGCGGCCAAAAGTAATGCATCAGGGGCTAAATTAATTAATAAAACATAGTAAAAATCAAATCTCTATATAAATTTATTAAGAAATAATTTTATTTTTATATCAAAATAAAGTTCATCAGTTGTAGTTTAACATATATTTTTTCTGAAAAAGTTGTAAACTTAATGCAAAAATTTTATTAACTAAAAATGAAATTTAATTAATAAAAATTTTTGCACTAACTTTATAATTAGAATAATTCTTCAGAAAAAATCTAAAAAGTCTGAAAAAAATGTATATTAAACTACAACTAATAAACTTTATTTTGATATAAAAATAAAATCATTTCTTAATAAAATTATAAATTTAATATAGAGAGAAAATTTCAATTTTCACTATGTTTTATTAATAAATTTAGCTCCTGATGCATTACTTTTGGCCATTGCTGTATATAATAAAATCTCATTATTCTAATAAGAATCTTTAAAAAATCTATGTATAAGTATATATAATTATTTAAAATTATTATTTAATAAAAATATTTTTTTTAATATAAATATATGATTTTTTATATAATTCTTTTTGAATTATTTTAATTATTTTAATTATTTTATTTTATATTAAAATTATAAGTTTATATTAATTAAATATATTTTTGATATTAATTTATATTAAATAAAAATAAAAAATAAATATTTTAATAGAATTTAAAATTTATATTATTTCTATTATACTTAGTTTATATAATTAAATATCTTTATAATTATATTTGAAAAAGCAAAATTAAATAATTATAAAAGATATAGCTATAAAGCATTTTTTTAATTAATTAATAATTAAAAAATTAATTATAAAGAGATATAATAATAAAACTAATTAAAATTATTTAATTTTTATTATTTAATTTTAAAAAATTATATATTTTATAAAATATTTAAATTAATTTTTATAATATTTTTTATTTATACTAATATAATATAATTATAGAATTATAGAATTGATTTTATTAATAAAATATAATAAAAATTGAAATTTTCTCTTTATATTAAACTTTATATATAATAATTTTGATTGGATTATCTTCCTTTAGATCTCTCTTAGTTTAGATTTTTATTTGCACTATCTGTATAACAAATTAGCTTTGTATTATATTTTTAAGAAGATTATTTTCACTTTGAATATACAGATGATCATTATGTATTAAATACATCTAGATTTAGCACATTATTACTTAGATAATCACTATGTGTATCACAATTATTAATTTAGACTATTAATATTTTTAATTACATTATTATTAATTATTTCTTTATATTTTTATTCATTCTTTTTCTTATTTATTTATATTATTATTTATAATTATTTATCATATTATTAATTATTGGATTATGATTAGTTGTCCTCCAGAGACATAAATTAAGTTAATTAATTTTGTTCAACCATATATAATTTAAATTAGAAATTCATATTAATTTATTTACATTTTGTATTCATTTCTTTCTTATAAATAAGACCTTTCTATTCTGTACTTTTAGCCTCAGATCTGAATACTTTTAAATAATAAAAATAATTATAAGTTATAAAATTAAAACTTATTCATATCACATTTTATCTTGTTTATAATCATTAATAAAATAATCTTATAACTTAATAGTAGTGGATATGATTATTACAGACATCACTCTCTAATATCTTATACTTACAAACTATATACACACATACATATTCTAGTTTAATAAAATAATATTTTGTCAGAATGAATCCAGAACAATTCACACAATTCATGACAAGCATGACTGAATTAATCAAGACAGTAAAAGAAGATGATCTTTCTGGTTCTAAACCTTCATCTCACCTCTCAATTAAATTGCCAACTTACTTAGGAAAGCCAAATAAAAATGTACTCATCTGGATTATGCAAGTTAAAATTATATTTCAGACTCAAGAAATCACAGATAAGAAAACTCAAATACAGTATGCTATCACTTTCTTAACTGATTCAACTTTATATTAGTATCTTAATAAAGTAAAGATAAATGATAGTGTTGAACTCTTTGAAAATTGGCAAGCTTTTATCATAGCCTTAAGAGAAGCTTTTTAACCATCACATTATCAATAACATCTCTATAGGCAATTTCATCTTCTTTACCAAACAGGATCTGTCCAAGATTATGATACAAAATTCAGAAATATAATTGGACAAATTACAGATATAAGCGCTTTAGATCAGATTATATATTTCATTAAAGATTTAAAATCAACTACAAAGATAGAAATAAATTATCAGGTATCAGAAATATTAGAAGAAGCTTAAAAATTAATCATTTGCTATGATACAGCTATATATGAGCAAGACAGACCTCTAGGCCTACCAAGCAAAAATAATAATAATTATTACTCACAAAATTAGTACAAAAGTTATCAGAAAAATAGTCCTATACTTATAGAGTTAGATCAGGCAGAAAGCTATTACAACAATAGAAAGAATAACAATAACCAAAAGAATAATAAACCAAAAGACACCTATTACAACTATGATAAATCAGATCACTTCACTAAAAATTATTATTCAAAACCAAAGGCCAAAATTGCAAATATAGAAGATAAACAAGAAGAATCTTCATAGTTTTATGAGAGAGTTGAGTTCACTTATTTAGAAGATAATAGAGAAAGATTTTTAAAATTTAATAGTCAAGTAAATAGTAAACCAGCATGAGTATTGCTAGATAGTGATACTTCAAGAAACTTTATAAATGAAAAGTTTGTACAAAAAAACAAAGCTAAATTGCAGAAGACTACACCAGTTACAATTAAACTTGCAAATGGCAAGAAGATAATAACAAATATCATGATAAAGATTGATGAGTTGAAATTAGATACTTATAAAATGTATAAGATGGATGCACAAGTTTTGAAACTACAAAAATATGACTTAATTCTAAATAAATCTTGGTTATTTTATGTGAATCCAATCATAGACTGAAAAAATAATATCATAACCTTTACCTATAAATCAAAAATAATCAAAGTTCAAGCTGATAATGAAATTAAGTCAGACTCAAGCTGTAATTCAATATATATTTCAAGACAACAAATTGCAAATCTATTAGCAGATGTAGAGCTCTTTATCATATACCTCAACAATACTGAAGACAAGGAAGAAATAAAAGAAAAGTCACTTTTATTAGAAGTATTAGAAATTAAAAGAAAATTTCAAGATGTATTTTCAAAAATCTTACTAAATTAGTTATCATCCAAGAAAGTAATTGATTATAAAATTGATCTTATTCCAGGATTTGAATCACTATCCAGATCCACCTATAGACTTTCTTTTACAGAGATAAATGAGCTCAAGAAACAATTAGCTAATCTTATTCAGAAAAGTTTCATTCACCCAAGTGTTTTACCTTTTGAAGTACTGTAATTTGCTATTTAGAATATTCCAGATATATTTCATTCCACAGGCTGAAATCTGATTTATACCTGGAGAAGTACATTATTCAACAGTGGATATACTAAAGTAGGGGGTTTGTATTTGGGAAATATGATATTGAGAGAGTACAATTCATGGTAAATGCAACATGTAAATATGCTAATTGATCTTTTTTTTTCCAAATGCATAAACTTCTTTGATTTTCTCTTTTCCTAAATGCGTAACAATTCTTCAGTTTATAATATTGGTAAAGTATTCTTTGTATTAAATTAAAATTAAGTTTTTAATTGCCAGTCTAACTGAAAGTATAATAGAAAAATAGTGCGTTATATCAAAAATATAACAAATACTAAAACTAAAAAATGCAGTTGGAGTGTACACAAAAAATTGGCCATACTTGCTTATCTTGATAATAAACCTAATGCTAGCAAATGTAATACAGCAGAAAAATTTGATATTCAGCCTAAATAAATCTGAGACTAGATATATAAACGTGAAGAATTAAAGTATTCAAGATCTTAAATAAAATGACTTACTCCTGGTACAAGACCCTAATATCTAGCATTAGAGAATGATCTTGTTATTTAGATGAGATCCTTATACTGAGAACAAAAGGTTGTATCATATTTTATAGTTCATTCTAAGGCAAAATCTTTGGCAGAAAGATCACGCTTTCTTGCAATTTATCCAAATATTGGTAATTGTAAATGGAGTGATAAGTGGTTGGATAGATTTATGAACTACTATCATCTTAGTATTCAGTGTTATACTACAGTTTCACAAAAATTACCAAGTGAGTTAGAGTCAATACAACATTAGTTTTTAAGTTTTATATTATATCAGCATATTTAATATAATTATCTCTTGGCATTAATTAGAAATATGGATGAAATACCACTTATCTTTGATATTCCTAATAATATAACTATTAAAGAAACTGGTATAAGCACTGTTAGTATTCAGATAACAAAACATGAAAAATCTAATTTTACCATTGTATTAGCGTGTATGATTGAAGACAAAAAGTTATCTCCAGTATTGATTTTTAAATTAGTCAATATTCCA